CTCCTTTGTGTCTCTGTAGCTGTGATGTCAAGCCATCAATCTGTTTAGCTATCTGTTTATCTCTGAGGGGCTTTCCTGTTGATCCAGCTGAGCATCCGCAGGGTTTAACCTCGACAGAGCAGCCAGAGAGCTGGCACATCTCCAATCACCCAACACACTTTGTGCCAGCCTGATATCTTACTCCAACGTTACTGAGTTGTTCGCCTAACTCCCCTTGAATACAAGTAAGAAACATCACGCAGATTTCAAGATGGCAATGTTATACGTCTGTCTTCAAATCTATTCTCAGTCATTCCTCTTAATGCTTGGACAAACCCAGCACTATTCCACTTGGCTTTGCTTTCATCGGGTTCCTTGCTCACCTGCTGTGTTCCTCTGAGGGAGATCAGGGAACGTAGGGGAGGCAAGATGAATGAAGTGATCTGTCACCAGCGTCTTTCACAACACCAATATCAAAAGAAGGCAACATGGCCAACGCTCTCCTCTCTCGCTGTCTGCTCTGTACATCTGAAGGTCAGATCGACGATACTCCAGCAGGCTTGCTGCCAAAGTCAATAAGGTCACATGGCGGACAATATCAAAACTGAAGTATGCTGTGTTATTGGACCCCAAGCCTCAGTAGGCTTAATATTTCTGCATGCCAAGTCAATTATCACATTTTCCGGTCTTAGTGGCTTCAGTCCAGTAATTGTCTTCAACACTATGTTCTCCAGCATAACAATACACTAATACTGTATATATATTTAGATTTTAAATGACTGCTTAGTATTTTTGACTTTAAAGGATCGGTGGGATCTCTTTCTTCAAAGCCAACCCTTTTAAAGGCGCCCCTCTCAGAACACATTAGGCACACTAGAGGAACAGCAGGTTCATGCAAAGCAATGCAAGCCCCTCCATCTCATCTAATGACTGCAGATTTTACACCAGACTCAATATGTCCTCCCTCAGCATAGGGTCACGCAAGCCGGAGAGGTTATGTTTCCTAAGACATGTCACGGGATAAACCATTGCACCTTAAAGTCCTCTTCGGACATAATGAGCACTATCACTGCTTTGATCAAAGACCAACCGCCATGTTTAAAAAGGGCATTCAGTGCATTTACTTTTAAGGTAATGATTCATGAACCCAATAGGTTTAACATATGCTAACATTAACTTTAAAGATCTTCTTGGTTTGGTTGGGTTCAAGTTTGTCATGAAACGATCAAATAAAATACAAAATAGAACTATAAATAGTCTATAAACAAGTTGTACTTTAAAAAGATGAAGCACAAGACAAAATAAAAATGCAAAACTTAAAATGACCCATTTCTAGTGTTAAATATTTACTAGTACTTGATTATTACTATTTTATTTTCCATTTGCCAGTATGATACAGCTATGTAATCTTGGGTTTAAATATTTCTCGCAATTGAATTAGTTGGAACTTGCTTATACAGAATGTGATATTCTCAAACTCAGCAGAACAGTGCTATTTTTGAACATTAAAGGGAACATCAATTAGAAACCCTGGAGGTCAACATGACGTATACGGTAAGAAACGATGTTCTAAGGACCATTCATGCATTTGCTACACAGCCATGAGCTGTATGGAAATTGCATCCTCATATATGGAATCAGAAATATAGATGATGTTCTGTCTAATTATGGCAAAAGCAAAGGATACACAAAATAATGTGATGTGGTGATGTCCCAGTCTGATAGGTGAGTAAGAAGGATGAGGAATTAGTTGTCCGTGTGAAATATGAGGAACAGTAATTTGAGCGTGGCTGACTTAGATGGACACAGAGGGGGACCGATGATGACCTGACTGGCCAGAATTGGATAGCAGTTTTCTCCGAATGTCAGAAGACACATTGACTGACAAACTGGAGGAGGAACAAACAGAGATTATACACCCGCCCACAGTGACAAACATGCCCTTGGCGGTTTGAAGTAACAGCATCTTACCGAATTATTCTTAGAATGAAACTCCATGTTGTCAGTGGCAATGATGTGTGTCCTCGGAGGTATGCTCTGGCCTCCAGATTCCTTATGTCGAAACCTTAAACTTCCTGAATCAGGGCTGAGGGCTCCTGCGTGTGATGAACTGTATGTTGAGAGTTAAAGCTGATTTACCGTCCGTGAATGGCAGCCTAAAAGAAGCATTGATGAAGATGAGAAGCTTTAAAGATGCTGGATGCAGTTTATCAGTTGGTGTCACACAAAAGATTGTCATGCAAGGAGAGGCCATCAAACATATTAAACAGTGCTGGACAAAGAAATCAGAACCTTCACACACGTAGAAGTATTATAGTATAAAAAACACTCCAATAAAAGTAAAAGTCCTGCCTCAAAAAAGGTATTTAGTATTTCTAGAAAATAATTAAAGTAAAAATAGGTTACTTGTTATGTAGAAGTCACATCTGTGCAAGCATTATCTAATCCACAGATGAAATTATGATGACATTTCTAACCTTTAGAAATCAAAAGGGCATTAGTCATTGAATTGCTTATATTATACAGTATAATGCCATTTTGAAATTACAGTTTTACATCATTTTATTTGAGTCCTCTATTGACTTCCATAGTAAAGCTATATGTTTTGTTTTGTGAAATCCTGATATATATATATTGTATAACTAAAGGTGTGAGATGAATGTAGTGGAGTAAGAGCACAACATACTTTCCCTCTGAAATGTAGTTAAGGACCATTCAAAGAGCACAAATGGAAGTAGAAGTACCTCAAAACTGAACACTTTAGTAAGTGGACTTAGTTACTTTCCACCACTGTATACATCTCAATGTCTTATATATTATTTTTGCAGTGAAATGACAAGCTATCTTCTTCTTTTGCAGGAAGAAAAAACAGCAATGCTCCAGAAGGTAAAGAGCTACATAGTGTCATCTTAATGTGATAATACACTTATGATCCAGTTGTATGCATTTCCTTATAATTCTCTCCTGTCTGACACCTCAGAGAAGCTGCCGCCATATGATCCAAATCTTGCTGAGCCCACAACCAGGGCTGACTTCCTCCAACGTAAGTCTTCTTAAATGTATTATAACCATTTAACATGTTGTATCTATAAGAAACATAAACCTGTCTTGCTGCTTCTTCACCTTGTGTCTCCCACTTTCTGCTTGTATTTGTTTCTCTCAGATTTTTTGCCCATCTCTCTCGATGATAAAACGGCACAGAAACTGTTGTGGATCTCAGAGGCAGGGTCCAAGGTGGCCCGTACTTCAGAAGCCGTCTGCCCGTATCCCAACAGGCCTGAGAGATATGAACACTCTCCACAGGTAGGCCTGTTAACTATATTTAAGTATGTAAAGGTCACCTATTATGCAAAATTCACTTTTTGATGTATTTTATACTTAAACATGTGTCCCCTGACTCCCCTCTGTGTAAAGAGATTCTGAAAGTTTCAGGAAAAAATATTCTCTCACTTTTCGTCCTGGTCCATTTTTATAAAAACCTGTCTGAAAATAAGCTGATCAGATTTGGGCCACTTTATGATGTCATACCGATTTTTTGGCTTGTGTAACCATTAGCCAATCACCAACCCCCGCCACCTTATCACAGTATAACAGACAGAGAATCAGCACTTTTGAAACAGGGCTGAAACAGAAGGGTTTATGGGATGCTACAATGATCTGTTTGGTATTTCCAAACAGAGACATGTTTTGTATATATCCGAGACGGCGAGACCTATAATATATTGATGAAAAACAGTATAGGAGACCTTTAAATAGAAATACTCGCGTCACCCATCTTCAAAGTGAATGATACAGTACTTAAATAAATGTAAAGTATTTACTTCAGTCTTTACTAAATATTTTAGGGGCTTGTTTGAGAATAGTCACGTTATAAATATATACTAATTAATTATTTTTGTTCTGTCAAATATCTGAAAAATGCACGTAAAATATCTCGCCAGTCTAAAAACCGAACATATTCAGTTCGCTAGCATATATAACAATTAAAAGCAACATGTTTGTAATGTGAAGGTTGATACATTCAGAAGGGACACATCTTTCTAAACTTTGGACTGTAGCCCGCCTCATTTCCTTCTGTGTGCCTCCTTCCTCATCAGGTGCTGTGTAAGGAGGGTGTGATGGGCTACAGAGCGTACTGGGAGGTGGACTACGATGGCTGGGTGGTCATTGGGGCCGTGTTTGAGAGCGCGCCCCGGAAGGTCCAGGACGGCCGTGGCCCCTGCGGCCTCGGGGAGAACAGTGTCTCCTGGGGGGCCGGCTGGTCTGGATCCTGTTACCAAGTGTGGCACAACAGCGATAACGTGGATGTCTCCCTCCCCCTGACCTCCACCATGGGCATGTACGTCGACCAGCCCGCCGGCATTATCAAGTTGCTCATCGTGGAAGGAGAGGGGGAGAACAAGGAGGTGCGGCTGATTCACAAGTTCAAGGCCAACATCACAGAGAAGATTTACCCCGCGTTCTGGGTTGGCACAAATTCATTCTGCCTTATCCGGAAAAAGGATCAGTGACACAGAAGAGGATTGAGCATGAATCGTAATGAAGGGGGGTTGGGAGGGCGACAATGTTTGGGGAACAAGTGTTGTAGTTGTAAAAGCAGCACGTTGTGACATCTCTGTAGTTTGCTTTCTCTGGTTGCATGACGAACAATTATTCATCTCATATTATATCCAAGATGGCTACTTATTTAATTTACTATTGTGTATCTTTTTCTGTATTTTATTTAACTTAGTATTTTAGTCTAGGTCTTGTATGTTTGTGTAACATGCAGGACTGTACTGAGTGCTTGTTTAACTTAGGAGTCTGCATCTTTTTTATGTGCTGAATGTAGTAATAAATTAAACTATTGTGTAATAACACTGATGTTGCATTATGTTTGTCTGATACTGCATATCAGGGATGACCATAGATCAGATATTAACCATAGACTGCATATATTTGTATTCACTTCAGTAGTGTGCTGACGCCCTCTAGTGGCCTTTAATATAATTGTACCCTCACACATAAACATACAATGAGTCTTTTTTTTCTCGGTGTTGCTCCTTTATTTGAAACTTAACGTACTTAACGGAACATTTGTTTGTTTTTGAAATGTCAAAGATGGACATTTTCCTTTCAAATCCACTCATTCAGCTCTCTCTTTCTCCCACAGTCACTTTTTCATTCACTCGGTCATTTCAACAAGATATCTGGAGCAGAAAAAATAACAACCTATAACTCAGTATTGATTTACAATCATACTATCAGTCAGTCATTCATTGGCAAAAGAAAAAGTTCAAATAGGCCAGTTATGAGGAGGAACTGGTGTCCTCCGCTCACATTTTGAAAAGACAACCTTTTTTCCATATGTGTGCCTGAAAACATCCATGGGGTCTGGGAGATCACTGGCTCTGGTCCTTCATACTAAAATCCAGTATATACTGGGCTAAATGCAGAGGGCCATGAGCTAGAGCTAGGCTGGGAGACAGTTATAGTTACAGGATGTTAACTTGGTAACCATCTCGCTCCAAACTTCATGCATAGACATAAGAGAGTGAAATAAAAGATGTTCAACTATTCCTGTAAACAGATTTTATATCATGTTTCAGAAAAGTAACTGACTCCCTCTCTTAGCCATGAATTGTTTAAAGGGATAGTTCAGATTTGTTTAAGTGGAGTTGAATTAGGAGAAACTGATAGAAGTACCAGTACTGAAGTAAATAAATATTCTCCTGTTGCACCAGTACAAATATTTCAATAAGTCTGGTGGCTTTGAAGAGTACAGTATTTTTTAAGTTATTAACTATAGTGGACACCTAATAATACATAAACAGATATCGAACAAAATTAAATGTTTTGTTTAGGTAGCTTAACTACATTTGGCTGCTGCTCCGGCCCACAGCAGTGCAATGCTCTGCTCCGCTGCTGGTACTCTTTGTTTTTGTAAACTGGTAGTAGTTGGTTGTACACTGAGCATGGATAAGCACTTTAAACCCAATTTCAAACAATCCTTTTTTAAGGAAACTGAGAAACTGAGCTTTAGAGCTTATAATATTGGAGCTATAGCTCAAAATGGTGTCTGCTAGGGCGTTAGCATGTAATACTGGAGCCGTGAATGTTGAACCAGCCTGATGCTGCTCTCCAAACTCTCTTTACTTCGCAGGTAATTTTACCACAGGACATACTTCCAAGCCTTGCACACTAAGTGCTGAACAGTTACCAATTGGCCGTGCCAGTTGGACTCCTACACACATCGTTTTAGTGTTTAATGTAGTGTTGAGGGTTGTGTAGCTGCTGGTGTTGTTGACATGTAGTGACGGGGTTGGTGGGGGTATAGTAATGAAATGTTTAAATGTTAGTGTTCATAACAACATTTTCCTCAAAGCATGTACAGTTCAAATTTGGTTAGTGAGAAATAAATGGAGGTAATAGCTTTTACATTGTTTCACATACTGCACGTCACATCTGCCAGCCAACCCAACTCCGGCCGTCATGACAACCTTTATCTCTATCCCCCTCTATCTCTTTCTCTCCACTGGCCTCACTCTCTCTTAGTGCTTGAGGGAGAAGTCCCCTGTGTTGAGACGGGGCCGAGGCAGGGCTCCAAACATTTCTGTCCCATCATTGGCTCCAGGGGCCAGCAGGGCCTTCATACTGGCAGCGATGTGCTCCAGGTCAGCACAGCCCACCTGATAGACATACACAGGGACTGAAAGTTAAACATGGCACAAGAGGCTGCACACTATCACCGGTACCCTCGTGCTACCAACATATTTAACAAACAAGAACTCCTGACAGGGGGCTCAGAGTATCAAACACTGCAAAGAACAACATTCAAAGCTAAATATTAACTTAGTTCTTGTCAAAAAAATATTATTTATGTCATTTCTTTCATCTTAGGTCAAATAAAAGTTTCAATTGATTTGCAGATTCTGTGAAATAAATATAGAACAAGCACGCAAGGGAAGTTGCCTGCCTCAATCTGTGTCTGTTTGTCAACAATCACAATGAATGATTGTGATTGTCTGACTTTAAACTAGAACCATGGAAAATATGAACGTTATGAAATTATGAACTTTAAAAAATGGTTTAATCTATTGCTTTTTAATGGAAAATACATTCATACTTCAAAAAGCACTGATTATAACAGAAATCAAGGATATTAAGTCATTATGATGACTCAACTTGATATAGCCAGGATAAATTGAGCTTATGTGGGCTATGACAGAAAGTATATATTCGAGTCCTACAGGGACCTCAGTTGGTATGGTTAGGGTAAATATTATTGATTTTCTCATTATTTAGTAAATAAAGAGAAAATCTGGACAGAATTAATAGTTTAAGCTTACTTTAGTAGGGTTGCTTTTCATTCTTTTAGAAAATAGAAAATATCTTTTAGTTTGTAAAATATTTGTCTGGCACACCACACACTTTAACAGTCACATGGACCGATGGAGCCATCATGGTCATTAGTTGACGCATCAGTATACCTTGTCCTCAGATAGCATGAAATATGTCAACTGAAATAAAAAAACATAAAAATCTAAAACCAGCTTGTTTTATTATCAATTACTTTATCATCTTATTTTTCGCTGGCTTTGAAAAACTGGCTATAAAATAAACATTCTTTCAGTGATTTGATCAATAGTCTGTGTTGTCTTTCTGTCTGCCCCTGGATTGGGGTCGAATAGTCCATTTAGCTTAGGAACCTTCCTAACGGAGTGAAATTACCCGGAAGTACCTCAGTGGCAGCCATGATAAGTGCCGTTCATATTCTCTAGATGAGAGGAGGTTTCAAACTTCCTTTATAACCTCCTTTAGCCTAGGTACCACTGGACCTTCCTTTACGAAAGGAGAGGAGAAAATTCTGCCCCACAATGCCTTGCAGCCGCAGCATTTGCCGTCACTCAACAGTCGGCCGTTCACGGAAACAACCGATTATGACAGAGAAATTATATCATGAAAGTTACGGTGCTTATTAAGCATTTTAAAACGTATGTGGCAAGTTGCCAAAGTGCTTTGTTTTGAACTTTCATCAGTATTATAATCAAAAAGAGAAATATGAACGTTAGTTTTTACTGAAATGATCAAATAAAGTCAACATTTCACAGTCTTTACTGAGCTGTGTGGGGTTTGTTCAACTTTTAAAAGATGTTTGAATGGTGATATACACAGTGATAGATGTTAAGGACTAACGTTTATAATAAATACATTTGTATTGATTTTAAGATCTTTTCATACAATCATACGTATTGGGATCATTTGTATTAATGTGGACCGGAGGGAGAGGGTGACGAGCATAAGTTTCACTTTCCTTTTTTATTTAAATTCCAACTTTGGTCATGAAGAATATGTTTCTCTGTTGTCCACGTTCATAAAGCATAAAACAACAGCATTAGAGCACGGTGCAGAATCTCTAGATGAGTTTACAGTAGTCCCTCGTTCTTATTAAACATCCATGTTGTAGTCCGCTGTATAGAAAACTGTAGTTTCCATAGTTTCCCCACAGCAGCAGACGCACATTTATGACGTCCGCTGGCGCATCATAAACACGTCGGATAGTGAAAGTGCATTTGGATTCTCTAAAGTACCGCAGTCTCTTCTCCTAAATCCTTTTGAATTCTCCTATCCACTATCCCTTAACCCCGTGACGTTTCACTCAGAGGTCAAGGAATAGAGGATAGGGTTAGAACTTAGGAGATGATTTTTTTGACTATTCGACCGCAACCCTGGTCTGCCCCTGGCTCCGCCTCTGCCCAGGTGTTCCAAATTCCACTCAGTCCTGGATATATATATATATATATATATATATAAAGAGAAGCTGGAGGAGAAGGATCTCTCGCCCTGGTGTGGCTGGCTCGGGCTCCCTCCTTCATTTTGTTCTTTTTGGCCAGTCCTCCAGACCTTCTTCCTTTCTCGTTTGGCCTTTTATGATAAAACGGCTCAATAATAATAAATGTTGCTTACTAAGTACTGGTTGTTGCGTGTATTCTTCATGTTGCGGGTCTCAGCGCGAGCTACTACAGCGGAGTAGAGGCTGTGGCCGTTAATTTCTGATGGTAACCAGCTCCAGAGTAAGTTGGCCTGAACAGTAAACAGTCAGCCAGCTTCATGCTATCTGGAACCTTGAGTTGAGCGCAAAGCCAGCTGCCTGACCCACTATTTCACCCAAACAATTTAATCTGTGCATGCAAACTAACAGATTTTTAAGATTATATGTGCTCACCCGTTCTCCACTGTTGTTTTCTCCTTGAGCTCTGCCTCCTTTGAGGCCCCACACAGGCACAGAGACGGGCAGCGAGCGGGCCATAGCCATGGCGTGGGTGTGGCGGAGCGAGTACGCAGACTGACCCATGGCCATGCCACGCGTTGGTGGAGGGGCATCCTCACTCAAAGAGCCTAGGACAGGTGGAAAAGTGGATGTGAATCTGTGGATCTACGCGCATATGTGGCTACTTTCAGTCAGCATAACAGACTCTTACCATCAGTGCTCTCCTCTTCCCCGTCGGACTCGAAGAACGGTTCGCAATCCCGAGAAAGAGAGTCCTCATCCATGGAGAAAACACCTGAAGCAAAAAGTGAGAAAACCTCAGAATGGATGCACATCAAAGCATTTAGATGGACAAATTAACTGACTCTCTCCTCACCAGCGCTTTCATGCCCATATGGTCTCCTCTCATCCATTTCCTCTTCATCTTCCTCGTCCTCACACTCTTCTTCCAAATCTTCAATCACAGACCTCTGTCTCCCCTGCTCGGCCTCCAGCTCAAACTTCTCCCGTTCCCTCTCTCCGTTGTCGTTCTGCACACCCGCCTGCCCGGTCGCAGCTCCTGAGTTGTAGATTGACGGATAGCTCTGCGAATAAAGTCTGTTGTTTGGACTGACTCCGCCCACCCCTCCATCTCCCTGGAAGCTCTGGAAGAACACAACAATCCATCATGTTATGGATACAAACATTTTCAATGAGCTTAACAGGGCAGAAAACTGTCACAATAATTACTCTATCAACTTTTCGTACAATCAGTTTTGCTGACCTTTATATGCCCGTTGTGTTTACATGCGTTAGTTTACATAAGAATGTCACCAATACTTAAAGGGGACCTAATCTATCATGCAAATTGCACTTTTTGATGTCTTTTATACATAAATATGTGTCCCCGGTGTGTCAGGGAACTCACGCAGTGTCAGAAAATAAAACCCTCTCTCTTTTCCTCCGGACCCATATCTCTAAAAACGGGGCTACAACGGAGCTGATCCAGATTTGCTTCCGATATGACGTAATATCGGAAATATGGACTCACGGCACTATCAGAAACGTTGCTATCAGAAACAATGCCCGACTGTTTTGGACGTAATATGGTCAGTGTTTACATTACATGTATACACTCAGAGCTAACCTGTACTGGAGAGCATGTGTGTGAAGAAGCAGGAAATAAAAAGGAACTCACCTTGTGGTATAACCGGCAAGAGAGAAAGCCTTTGAGCTCCATACTGTTTCAGAAATAATCCTTGATAATCCATGATATGGCGTTTCATCACGGCAGTATTTAGTTTAGACCAGGGGTACTCAAATACAAATCTTAAAGGTCCAAAATAAATGTTTCAATAAGACAAAGGTCCGTTTATCACGGTCATTCAAACTTTTAAACTATTACAACAAGATTCTTAACACGAGGTTGCAAAAACAAAAATAATCTGTATGCAGCAGTTTTCGTTGTTATTGTGTCTGTGCTTGACCCCTCAGAGTCGCAGTGTAAGAGCTGCACAGTTATGAATAAAGGCAGCTGCACCCTCTTTCATTCAGCATTCCCATTATTGCTTTATAAATGTATTGCCCCCTTGTGTGTCCACTGAGGTTCGTCAGGCCCAACACATCTTCAACAAACTCCCCCTTTGCCTCATCATACAAACTCACAAACACCAGCAACTGAGCATTGTCAGTGGTGTCAGTGGACTCACCCACAGCTAAGGAAATGCACTGTGCATTTTTTATTCCATCACAAAGCTGATGAATCAAATCACCAGCCAGTATTTATGTTCTTCTGGTTGCTGTGGAATCTGAGAGGGGGATTTGCTTGATTTTACCTGTTATTTCCTCTTTTTGTTTGCCTTCAACATGGTCTCCATCACTTCAGTCATGCATTCTTTTATACTTCAGTTATTATCCAGTGGAAAGTCCTTACCTACTGGCCTAGTTCAATCAAAGTGGTTACTTTTTTTTGGCTGGGCAGTGTAGTTTTACACACCGTCTTATTTGACTTTCTCAGGACTTAAAACAGTTTTTTGGGGGCAGACCCCCTCAAAGAAAAAAATATATTTACACACGTAAGGTCATCATCTTAATAGTTGTGTATGCTCATCCGTGAGCAGAGCATCAAGTTGACATGTCTATTACAGCTGAATGCGGCGATTACCATTTTGTTCAGCAAAACGCCTCACAAACGTATTAAGATCAACAGCTTTAGTGCGTTTTGATTCAATGCTGAGTACAGCCAAACTGACAGTCTCTTCTCTGTCATTGTAGACCGCAAATACCTCATTCCTTCAGTGCTTGGGTCCGAATGCTTCTCGTTTTGCGCCGTCCAGTTCAAAATGAAATCGCCGCCAATCGTATGTCCACGCTCGCGCCAGGACCGGGGGAGGGGTTACATGACGTGCATCTTGTGCTGCATTCACTTGCACTCGGACATTAGAGACTTTCTCTCATAAATGTCCGATGAGCCACAACTTTTCTTTCAAAACAAAGCTGCCAACTGGGGTGGCAGCTGGGGTGTCAGTTACCACCCCGGTAGGTGAAACTAGGCTACTAGCTACAGTACAGATGGAACTAGATGAGCTGTTAACTCTCGCTCTGAATTTATTTATTTTAAATTCTCGCTCTGACTTAGACAGGTTGAAAGAGACACACACATTTTTCCCACCCGCATTCCGCGAAGACCCGCCCTACTGTGCCTCTGATTCGCAGATTGTTTGGGGGGGGAAAACGCTGACTGGATGCTGAATGTGATTGGACCAAAGCGTTGACAGACACAGGTGGAACACAGTGGAACAGTCAGACATGCAGAGCGCTGTTTGCAGTGGACATAGCGGATAATTTTGACTCGTTGCGAATGCGTTGTGGCGATGTCTCACATATAATACAGAGAGATAATACATATGAAAAGTATAATTTGCTCAGAGTCCGGAGACAGTGGTGGTTCGGTCCGGATCCGGACCAGAGTCCGTAGTTTGAGGATGCCTGGTTTAGACAGTAGCTGCCGGGTCCCGCATGAGCTCAGCCCCCTCCTTTTTTATTTTGTATAAAAAAATGTTTTTTAATGCTTTATACCCTTGCTTTATATTAGCACTTTTGAAACAGGAAGTGAAATAGAGGGATATGAGGCATGGCTAGAATGGGTGATCTGTTTGGTATTTTGAGCAAAACACTTCATAGACATGTTTTTAATATTTGTATTGTTACGACCCTGGGTCGTTAGGTCATTTGTGTGTATATTTTCCCCTCCTTCTGTGTGTGTGTGTGTGTGTGTGTGTGTGTGTGTGTGTGTGTGTGTGTGTGTGTGTGTGTGAGCAAGCAGGTGGTGCCCGTTAGCTGATTAGCTACCCTCGTCAGGCTGTCCACCTGAGGCGACGGGAGCATTTTTAAGCTGCAGCCGTGCAGTTCCTCGCAGCTCTCTCTGACTCAACTTCTCCTACTCCCAATGCTGTGCGTGTTAAGATCTTTTGTCCTGTTGTGCTGTGTTCGCACTTTGAGAGTATCTTGTCCTTCTATGCTTGCTGTGAGCTATTTTACTTTACCTGTCTTTGTAAGTGCAAACCCCTTTTTCTTTCTTTTGGACAGTTCGTTTTCTCCTGTTTTTAAGTTAGAGTAGGTAAGAAGTCTGTATATTTATTTGTTCTCTATTAGGTAAGATTTTGTGTTAAAGTTCAGTTCGTTTTTGTGGTTTTGTTACTCCTGTTTATTTTGTATCAGACTTTCAACATGTTTTTTTGTTGTATATATTTTTGTTGGATTTGGTAAATTAAATTTACCAAACGACATTCTCTGTCTCGGCGTCCTTTGTCTTGAGTGGGAAAAGTGGGGAGAGAGCAAACTTTGTGCTGCGCCTAGGTTCGCCTGGGCGTAACAGCATATATCTAAGACCTATGCTATTGCCTAAAAATAGCATGATAGGTGCACTTTAAGCAAACACTATGCAAGAATAAACAGCATGGTCTCCCAATTTATAAAAAAAACATTGACAGATAGCACAGAAATTGCTTATTTTTGTAATCAGAGATCGAGAGGTCATTTTATTTATTGTCATGGTTGTGTATATTGATGTGTGGATATGTTTCTCTCTGGGACAAAATATAGTCCAAGTAGCTATCGTGAACTCACCCCTCTGTGTCCGAGGTCAGAGGTCAGGTCAACAACCAGTTTGGTTCCTCTCTCTCCCCCCACTTGGCGTGTGTGCTTTTGGGCTGTTAGCATCGTGGTGGAGTGCAGCACACCGATGTCATCCATGTAGCGCCGAGCCGACTCCGCAAGAAACCCTTGACCCCATACATTGTAGGAGAAATCACACTCCTTAGGAAAGGCACTGCTGCTCTCCCGTTTCCTCATCCCATCTTCACCTTCACCCAATGACCGGAACTTCTTACACGCTGTAAGTATGGCCAGGTCACAGCCAGACTTTTGGCAATATGTTTCTGCAGCAGAAAGAAGTGCCAGCCAGCTTTCTTTGTGGTTGTCTGGGATCTCAGGCTCAGATGACTGGGTAATGGAGGCCATAATGGTGCAAAGTAGTGTTACAACTTTCTAATATAGCCAGACCTGATGAGAAAACTAATGCTGATGAATGAAGAGTTTGAGGTTTAGCTTGGATAAGGTTGGACGTAATACAGTATTAACAGGTAACTTTGGTAGCTGCGGTGTATTTGACTTTGCATGAAAAATGTCCTAACTTGTGTTTTTTCTGTCCTGCTGGTGTTAGTTTTCAGCAAATGTAAGGATAAGAAATTATCTATCAGGTAGAGAGGCACTGGGTGTCTTTAAGATATGATCAATTGGCCAGTGTCACTAAACACTTGAGAGCCAGGGGAGAGAAGAGATGTTGCCAAGTTGCTGGTGATACCTGTAAAAAAAAAAAAAAAGACACAAAACAAGGTTAGCTGTAAAATGTTGATAAATATAACTCATTGTAAAAGTGAGATTATTCCTCCTACTAAAGATGTATGAGTTGATAGACATTGCCCATTTGAATATGTGCAGATAAGCATATAAAAACAATCTGCTTAACCTAAGCTGTCCTCGGATTGTCGCAGCTCTCAACCCCTCCGTGAACTGCTTCCAATAAATCTAAGCTAACTAATGCTACTGTAGCTACTGTAACGTTAGCAACTGTAGCTCTTAAATGACCAGGCTCTATTGATCACCAATATTGCCATTTGTGCAATCGTCTCTGTCTGTTTTAGGATTGCATGCTTCGGACTTGGTATGCACAGTAAGTGTCGCTGCTGCAGCTGTTGTTGTGGATCTTGTTGTTTAGTGTTGTGTGCATCCTCCTCATGATGGACCCACACTTCACCTCAATTTTTTCAGGCTTCAGCAGGAGCCGAGACGATCAAGTATAAATTACAGGAAACATTTAAGAGGTTCACCTACCTGTTCAGTTTCTTTCTACAACGTTGCCAGATGTTTATCAATCCTAAACTTTACTTGTTTTTTGTCAAACGTATTCTACATTCTCCAACGGTTTCTCTCCCCTTGCTAGGCTCTACAGCAGCAGCAAGCTAGCAATAATTAACAACGGCTTTTCCGGCTAAGAATTACAAAATAAAAGCCGTGAAATGACATCTGTGATACTTCACTTACTGTTTCAAAAACTGTTTACACCTCAGTGTATATGTATTATTTATCGGTTTACATACACGTTCCCAATTGCAATACTATCAACCACTCATATATATACTCATATTATATTAGCCTACATGTATTAATGTGTGTATTTGAGCTTGCACTATATATTATTATAACGGGGTATAACATTTTAAAAAAATTATATATTTTAAATATATATATATATTTTTTAATTGTATACCCCGTTTATCTAGTCCCTTTTTGTTTGTTTTGAATGCGGGAAACGATATCTCGAGATTTCTGGATGTAGAACACATGTAGTAATTTTGACAAAGCTGACTTTGACTTTGACTTGATGTCTTAGATTCTTATTTTGCCTTTACAGGCATGCTTTTCTTTTGTTTGTTGGCTATACATGTTTAACAAGCATTGTTTTAGCAAAGTCTCTGTATTTGGTAAACATATGATGATAAAGAATTTGAGTATATAAAACATTAGGTAATAGGCCGGGAGTATCACAATATAAAAGTAATATTATTTTATTACGTCCCGTTACTTTTGTATACACTGTTGTGTTTCCATTTTTGACAAGAAAAAGACAGTTTCCTATGTTATTATATAATGATTGTAACATAATACCTGGAAAAACAAAGTCTACCAAAACAAAGTCTACCAAATATTACTATCCATTGATTTCTTTCCACAATCATCACGTAGTGGACGTACTTGATCATACAATTAATGTGATTAAATGGTTTTAATTTGAAGGAGAATGCCGTCTGCTCTCATCCGGGTTAGTTAGATGCGAATAACTTGATGCCTGGTGCAGTTTTGACATCACCTGTTTACTGAGTCTCCGCTTCCAATCGGAGGCACGTTGAATACGTGACAGAGCTTTGAGTGCGTGCTCGTACTCGCCTTGTTCTCGTGCACGTGTACCTCCACCTCGCTCAAACCCACCTACCAGCTGCTCACAAGTTCAGTCACATGAGTATGGTATTCATTACCATGTAATTAACAGGAGTAATTATAACTCTGGTTATAAGAGTTCATGGTCCATGTAATCGATTAATAAGCTCTACATTTAGCATTGTGGAATTTGCCTCAAGTGGCTAACAGTCTGTAAAGGATAGGACACCCCCTGTCCTCAAAACATATGTCTTATAGACCCTCGCTTTGGATAAGGAAAACCCTTATATTGGGATAATGGGAAAAACCTTATGAAGGGCAAGTGAGTAGGGATCCCTTTCCTAGGGCCAGCAGAAATGCAACGACAAATCTAAATCTAAAATATAATAAACTACAGTTTAAACAATCAGGATGACATAGTCTCCATGCCATAAAAACCTGGATGACAGCAAATCTACTCAAACTCAACAGTAAGAAGACTGAGCTCATGGTTGTGGCCCCCAAAGCACTGCTCCGGAAGGTTGGGGATCTCCTCCTCCACATTGACGGCTGTTCCATCTCCCCGTCTCCCGAAGTCCGTAACCTGGGTGTCATCCTTGACTCCACTCTCATTTCAGTCACACATCAAATCCGTCACTAAGTCTGCCTTCTATCACCTCAGGAACATCTCCCGTCTACGACCATCACTCTCTGATTCCGTGGCCGAGACCCTCATTCATGCATTCGTCTCCTCCCGGTTGGATTACTGCAACGGAGTCCTGTTCGGGGTTCCCAGTAAAGCCCTGGACAGGCTCCAGTATGTGCAGAACTCGGCTGCCAGGGTGCTCACTCACACCAAGCCCTGGCAGCACATCACCCCCACCCTGATCCACCTCCACTGGCTCCCAGTCAAGCACCGTATCACCTATAAACTCCTTCTTCTGATTTACAAATCCCTCCATGCCCTCGCCCCCCAATACCTGTCTGACCTTCTCCGCTACCACACTCCATCCCGGAAGCTAAGATCATCTGGACAGGATCTCCTCTCCACCCCCCGCACCAGGTTGCGGACTTTTGGTGACAGAGCCTTCAGTGTGGCATCCCCCACCCTCTGGAACTCTCTCCCCCCCGAAATCCGCAGCGCCCCAACCCTGGACATTTTCAAAAAAGCCCTCAAAACGCACCTTTTTACCAAGGCTTTCGCCACTGTATAGTTAGTTTAATAGGTTTATTTTTCCGCTACTTCCCCCCCCCCACCCCCATAACCTGTCTGCCTTTTCCCCCCTACTACCCCCCCCCCCCCCTACACGACTTGTAAAGCGACCTTGGGTTTCCTGAAAGGCGCTATAAAAATATTATATATTATTATTATTATTATTATTATAGTTATAGACAGGGCTGCACATAACTGGTGCGCAGGTGCGCATGCGCACCTCCGCCAAAAAAAGAGCACCGGGTCATTTGAAACAAAGCGCATTTGCGTACCAACATTGAGAAGGAGAGAGAGAAGAGAAAAGAGAAAATAGAGGAGAGATGAGAGAGAGAGAGAAGAGAGAGAGAGAAAAAAAGATATTTGCGAGTTGCATATGAACCATGATATGAACTCAGGGCCGGCCCGTAGCACTGGCTAGATGTTCGCCTAAGGCGCCAGATCTGGGGAGGCGCTGCGCTGGCAGTTCTGGGAGGGAAAAAAACATTTTGACCGTTGGGGCTCATCCTAATTTTCGGCCTTGATGTAACAATATTCACAATTAAGTAAATGTAACACCCTTTTCACCCCGGTTCCACCTTTCATTTTGCCCTGTACGATGGGCGCTGTAAGTGATGAAAATGGGGGATGTTGGCTTATCTGGCGCCCGCAGCTTACAGACAAAATGCGAGTGAGCGAGGGAGAGAGGGAGGGTGCACCGGTACCGGCGCTGTTGTTATTAGAATCTGGTGCTAGCTGCTCTAACGGAGATAAGAAGAAGATGTTTCTACAATAATGTGGAGGGAGAGTCCTCTCCAGTCAGACTGAGAGGCTGATAAGTTAACTACAGCTCAGTGAGGTAAAGGACTCTTAGTCTAAATTCAAACGGTTTGGTCACAATTTATGTAAACACATATTTCCAAGGCACTCTTTTGTAATTATTGGGATAAACAGGTTTTAAATCATTCCAATGTATACTATAGGACAGTAACCAAAAATATCCTTTAAAACGAGATACAAAAAAAAATGCATAAATAAATAAATGTTATGGTAAAATAAGATATGAATGAACAACACAAATAAAATAAGTTACATTAATTTGTTATTGGCTATGGTAGGCTATTGGTTATGTTCACATACTTATTTGATTACATCCACTTGTCTAAGATGACAACAGAGACTTTCGACCCAAAACCAGCTGTTGACTTGTGGATGCAAGCAGCTAATCGCAGACTCAACCAGAGAGAAAGTAGTAGGCCTACATCATCAGCTACCATGTCTGACAGAGAAGAAGACAGTGAGGAGAACAGTCAGGAGGGTAGTGATGACAGCTTGTAGGATTACTGGTCGTGCTAATGTTGTCTTGTGCTCACCTCTGCATGTGTGTTCTGTGTTCACCTCTGCATGTGTGTTCAGTGCCGTGTGTCTGGCAAATAAAGTCAAGACCCCCTCAAAAGTTACGGTTTATTTCATTTTAAGGATGAGCACCAAGCAACATCTCCAGGTGCTCCTTTGAGAACCAGGGCAAAAAAGTTATGTGCACCCCTGGTTATAGATGCGTTTATATTGATCTGTTTATTGTAATTTGCCAAAACAGCAAAACAACAAGGCAAATGCCTAGTCCGTAGGCCTATGTGTGTAAAAAATAGAGTAAAATTAGCTAAATGTTTACCATTTGCAACATCAAGTAATTAACACATTAATGTCTCAACAATTATTATACAATAACCTAAAAACAATTATTATACAATAGCCTTAATACTATTCTGAAATACTATGACATTACTTTTGTACATGAGTATGAGTACGGGTTTGAATGCAGTAATTTAAACTGCAAAATATATTCTTTATAAAAATGTAAATGGTTCAGCAAAACTACAAAGAACAAGTATCACTATTTGACATAAAATGACTTGCAATGTCTTTTATTATACTATTATTATAATAAAAAAGGACACAAACAAAAGCAGTAGTCCATTTTCAGCTCATGTGATGACGTCTCTTTAAGGGGCCGGGCTTCTCGCTAGTAGGAAGTGTGACGTAACATTTATTTTGGAAAACGAAGTCGAGGCAGAGGTGAAGGAAAATGGAGCAAAACATTGAGGATTACAAGGTATTTCTACAATATTTCACATACTATTATAATTTGTGAATGCTGACAATTTTCCCTCAACTCGACTGTGTAATGTTGGGTGAAACTACTCGAGCTGGCCGTCATTGTTAGCTTATTGTTTATACATCAAGCTAGCTGTGTGTTTTCACTAACGCTCGATGAAGTCAATCCGCACACTGTCAGCTACGTTTTATCATCTGAATGGATATAAAATGTCGGACTCTGTTTTGTAGCTAGCCTACAGCCGTATCTATAGTTATACAGACGGGAAAAATATAAAAATACAGTATATTCTGTATCACTATAACGTCTTCCTATGTGTTTGTCTCGTCTTCACCTACTGACCTGACAGACCTGTAATCACGTGACAGACAAGTACTATGTGCTATGATTTCATTAACCTGCCTGCCACAGGTTAGATATTTGATGTGGTACATAATGTTCAGTTCAAGCCGTAGCCTAGCGTAAAAAAAATTGTTATTGATATGGCTGCATTTATATTTATGTGGGCTTTTTCTTTCTTCTCAGCTTATATTTGAAAAAGAGGGAGTATACCTCCACACAAATGCCAAGAGAAGTAACCAGGACACCACCATCCCAGGGTTCATCCGTATTGTGGAGAGGGTAAGCAACATGTGTAAAGATACAAAGACCGAAATTGAAAAAAAAAGCAGTGGGGATTGTCAACAACACATTTTTTTTTAGGCCGGTGTTCCAGCTTTAGAGTGGAGCCCCCTTGAAGATGAGGGTCGCAGTGCCCCTGCTGTA